GTGTACAAGGCATTTAGAAATATCTTGAATTCTTGAATATGGTCATTGCTCTTAGTGTTGGAGTGTCTCCCTCAAACTAACCATATGTTGTGAAGATTGTCACTTTGGAGCTTATATACCTAAAACGAGCATTGGAAAGATGGAAAGAGTTTTTGTGAAGAAATTTGTCGGTTGATCTATAGTATCAATCTGATGAATTCTAATTTCTTAATTTTTTTATGCATTGTATGATGTAGTAACAATCTATTTCTATGTGTTTGGTTCATGCATGAAAATTTAGGTTTATGGTCGAGTGTTATCACAATATAATATAGTTGGTTGATATATGGGAGTTCAAATTTCTTGCAACATTCTTCTAAGCCAAACTATTTCGATGTTATGAGGAAGGAGTTACGGTGATTTGCGTCTTAGTTGTCCATGATGCGAGTGTTGAGCCAAGAAAACTACAATAACTTGTGGTTGACTTGTGAACCATGGGATCACCAGCCTAATCAGAAACTGTATTGGCCATGAGCTGAGGATTGCCTTTCATTATTGGTAAACCAAGATTCTTGGTACCTTGAAGGTGTCTTAGGATAAGTTTTAGTTGATGAAAGTGGTATTGAGAAAGTTGGTGCATTGACTGGCTGGCTTGATTAATCACATTAGGAAATGATTGGCCTAGTATGATTGAGATGTTATAAGGACCCGACAATATCACGACAAAGCGAAGGATCCTTGAAGTAACTGTGATCCGTGCGATTTGATGGTTTCCTTACGAATGATGGGTTTTTTACGGCTTTGGAGTTGAGCATGCCTAATGTGGTAATTAAGTATGTGTTGGATTTAACTTGTTTGGTTTACATGTTAACCATGCACGATTGTGGTAAGGAAAGATTCCTGGAAACTAAGATATGGACCCAAGGATTTTCATTTTGAACATAAGATGAAGTTTATGTGGAATGTTGTTGAATAGTTTGTTGATTGTTTCCTATTAATAATATTTCATCAACATATATTAAAGTGAAAATGTAAGAAGTATTGTTGTCATAGCAAAAGAGCGACGAATATGTACAGCTATCTCAAGTCCTGGATGGGTGTCTTAAGTTATGGGATGCTACGGACGATCCATAGACTATCTCTGATCATGTAGGTGGCACCCTTGGCTCGTTACATCAAAAAGTGATGCCAAAACTATGCCCACATATATTATAATGATCGAATTGAAGTTAACTCAACAAAGTGAATTATTAGAGGGAGCCAGTATGAACACCCTAGGCTCGTGACATCAAAAAGTGACGCCAAAACTATGCACATATATGTTAGAATGATCGAATCAAAGTTAACTCAACAAAGTGAATTATTAGAGGGAGCCAATATGATTGATATAGACACCTATTGATCCTTCATTAATAGCACTGTTGGTTATTTGGATCAAAATGCCTACCAAAGACGGTTGTCGTACCAACCATATCTGACAGCTCGACGACTACGGATCTCATCCACATTAAAATTGTCACCATATGACAACCTAGAAAGCCATCAAGAAATACGGTTTCAATTATTTTATTATGTTGGTCTTTCATGTTAAAAAAAGGGGAGGGAGCACCTAACTCAAGAGATGGAGCTTTCTCAGGCTCCGGCTCTGGTAGAACTTTTCTCCTAGAAGCCTGTAACCGAAGAAATCCCGGATGAACTTATTTCTTAGACTATTAATCATACTTCTATTACTCTGAGTTCCTTCTATGAATTTCATCCATCTCTCTCCCTTTCTTTTCCTATCATCTTCTCTACGTTATCAGATTTTATTACTGTGTTATATATACTCTAGGATAATAAGGGTTCTACGTACGAAAAGGATTCAAAATGTTTTATACTTTGCTCACTATATGACATCCAAATTTTAGAGGAGTATGCTTTCAAATTATACAAATATATTGAGATCATATCTGTAATAATAAAATATATATATATATATATATATAGTCATTAGATCACTCTCTTAACAAGTTAGCTAAGAATTATATAAATATTCAATATAGCATTTTTTTGGGGGCCAATCTGTAAAAAATAGGCCTGAACTCTAAGCTAACACGCTGGTCATTTGAATTTGATAGAAATGAGGAATACGGGATGAGGGAGAAAATATTCCCTCAGTACTACGCACCGTAAGGAAGGTGCGTAGCCAATAAAACTGCGCTACCTGTAAACTACGGTCCCACTTTATTTAGGGTATTCGCGACCCGGGCCTGACCCAAAACCCGAATTCTGAAAAAAATCCCGCCACAATAAAAATGATTTCGCGCCAGTTGCTGTTCTATTTTCGCTGGTTTTTTTGACACCTTCGTTCAGAGCTCCGTTCATAGCTGTTCATAGCTCCGGTCACAGCTCCGTTCACAGCTCCGTTCACAGCTCCAGTTCACAGCTCCATGGACTTTCAGATGCCAGAAGTCGATTTCTCCATGAACGTTGAGATGCCGGAAGCCTCCATGAACGTTGAGATGCCATCATTCAGCCTGAACTTTGAAGGTCAAAATGAAGTGAGTGTTGGTGTTACTGTTGTGTTATTGTGGTGTTACTCTGCTATTACTCTTGTTTCTTGCGTTTTATTTAGTACCGTTGTGTGGCTTAGGCTTTAGTTTTATCTCCATGTAAACGTAGGTGTTCGATGTAGTGTCTTTTGGATGTTGTTCCACAGTGTGGTTTGTTATCATGAGGGTTTTTTTCTTTTCGTTAGTATGGTTTAGGAATTCTGCTTTTGTTTGTGTTACCTTTGTGTTATTCTGGTGTTACTGTGGTGTTACTCCATGTAAACATAGGTGTTCACGTATCACTGGAAGCTACTCTACAGCGAGGTTTGGTTTAGTTATAGTTTTTTTTTT